AGAGTTTATAGATAGATATAGATATAGATATAGATGATATAGATCTGAACATCGAAATGGCGTTGAAATGTTAATGAATAGTCTTCAATTTAAGCCTACACCTTATTTATTTATTTTGTCTACTGGTATTTGTGTGCATGTGTATTACACACCTACTGCAAAAAGTAAGAGGCAGAGGGAAGAGAGGCAGACGCACATGAGGTGAAGGGTTCCCTTTCTACATTTTTGGGGTGTTTTTTGGTTATTTTTAAACTAAACCTTCAAAATTTCCCTATTTTGCCTTTCCAGACGACTCTGACAAGATGATTAGAGCCCCCTTCCCAAATTGTGAAACTACTGTCACAACCTTTGGGAGAAAAGACACCAACAATAAGAGAATCCTGTTGGCTAAAGCAGAATCAATTGTTAACACTTAGGTCCAAACACACTGCGGAAATAACCCAGTTTGAGACCGCTTTAACTGCCCTGTGCTAGGGAACCCTGGGAATCGTAGTTTATGCCAGAGCTCTCTGACAGAGAAGGCCAAATGTCTCCCAAAACTATAGTTCCCAGAATCCCCTAGTATTGAGCCAGGGCAGTTAAAACGGTCTCAAACTGGATTATTTTTGCAGTTTGGACTTTATTAGGTAAGTTTAATAGATTCAGTGGATCTAATCTAGTTGAGGCTAACAATAGGATTCAGGCGGTTCCTGCATATGGTCTATATAACCCACCTGCACACAATATTTCAAATATATCGAAATATGGAACTCTGTTCCTATATACTAAAATATATGAATAAATGAATTACATGCTGAATATTTCGTATATACTGAAATATACTGAAATATATGAATTACATGCTGAATATTTCGTATATACTGAAATATATGAATTACATGCTGAATATTTCGTATATACTGAAATATTCCAGCATGGTCAGGGTGGGATGGGGAGTGTGTATTTGTTTTGCATATTCTGTGTTATCTTTCCCAAGAACAATAATAACAAGCAAGACAAGTAAGCCTATTTTTAACACTCTTTCACACTCCAAGGTTATAGCGCTTTGATTCCTCTCTGCTATAGCTGCATTCTGTGGAATCTAGGTAGTTTATGGAGGCACTGGACTTCCTTGACAGAACATGCTAAACACCTTTTGAAACTACAAATCCCAGGACGCCATAGGATGCAGCTGTGGCAATTAAAGTGGAATCCAAGTGCTAAAAATGCCTAGAGTTGCATATATGTGTGTATTGGCCTTCAAGTCACCTGTCGACTTATGGTGACCCCCATGAATTTTTTAAAATATTATTTTGTGTTATTTTCCAGAGTTTAAAAAGAAAAAAAGAATAACAACACAACAGCAGATGACATACCATAGACAAACCTACACTTAACAATCTGTTAATTTATTTATATATATATATATATATATATATATATATATATATATATATATATATATATAACATATACATATATATACTTCTTGTCCTCTACTACAGAGTCATGTTTTTAGACGTCTTATATCCCTTTTGATTTATATTTTCTATCCCCCCATATAATATACTATTCTTGTTTTCAATCAAATTCCGTATCTCTATCTTTCCTAAGGGTTTCTTAAGCAGTAGATAGCGGTTAACCTCGTCTAAAAATAATGTATAACTCATTAATCCATATTAATCCATAATCCATATCATATATTAATGTATAACTCATTAATTAATTATGTAACCTTAAGTTTTAAATAGATGCAACTTTGGCTGGACCTAACCTCACATTAGTGATGTTGACCTCTTATGCTGATTTGTTGCTTTTGTCTGTCTTCAGGTCGCTTCCGACTTATGGCGACCCTAAGGCGAACCGAAGGGGATTTTCTGGGGCTGAGAGTATGTGACTCTCCCAAGGTGGCCCAATGGGTTTTCACATCCGACCCGGGAATCGAGTCCTGGTGTTTGGGTTTGAGCATTGGATTACGACTCTGGAGATCAGGATTCGAGTCCCGGGTCGGACATGAAAACCCATTGGGTGACCTTGGGAGAGTCACATACTCTCAGCTCCAGAAAATTCCTTCCCTGAAAAGGCGCAGAGGCTCGTGCTGCAAGGCTGCAATTCTATGCCTGCTTTGCTGAGAAGAAACCTCATTGATCACAAGGGTTCCCACTCAAAGTGGGGCACCCACTTCCCCGCAGAAGTGAACTCTGGCTCCCAAAAAAACCAGGTGAGGCCAAAACTGTGGAAATCGGCCCCATAGTCCTTTAAAAAGTGCCATAAGACGCCATGGGTGCAGTGGTATAGTGGTTTGAGCATTGGACTAGGACTCCCAGAGACTAGGGTTCAAATCCCCCCTCAACCATGGGAACCCCCAAGTTGGTCAACATGGGCAAGTATCACTCTCTCAGCCTCAAAGGAACAAATCTTGCCAAAAAAACTCAACAAGGAGTTCGCCTTAGGGTGGCCAGAAGTTGGAAACGACTTGAAGGGACACAACAATAAGTCGAGAAAGTGACCCCAAGGGCTTCCAGTCCAAGCTCTTAAGGGTGCCAGGTTCGAGACAGTCCTCTGCTTTCCCAGTCGGGGTCTAGAATAAAGCTATAGTTTCCATCTATGGCCAGTTTGTCTCTCGTTGTTGTGTGCCTTCAAGTCCTTTCCCACTTATGGAGACCTTAAGGCGAACTTATCATGAGGTTTTCTTGGCAAGTTCCATCAGAGGGGGTTTGCCATTGCCATCCTCTGAGGCTGAGAGAGTGTGACTTGCCCAAGGTCACCCAGTGGGCATGGATGAATTGGGAGTCTCCAGAGTCAAAGCCCAGCGTTCAAACTACTATACCACTCTTAGTTTGCATCCGCACTGCAGAAATAATCCAATTTGACACTTTAACTGCCATAGTTCAATGATATGGAATTCTGGGAACTGTATTTATTTATTTTTCGTTTTGTTTCTATGCTGCCTTTCTTCCAGAAAGGGACTCAAGGCGACCCACAAATAAAACCATGTAAAAGCCTTACAATAACATTCACAACAAATTGTAGCTTCTTGTAGCACCAGAGCTCTCTGACAGGAATGGCTCAATGTCTCACGAAACTGCAATTCCCTATTTCCATAGCACTGTGAACCATGGTAGTTAAAGCGGTGTCAACCTGGATTATTTCTGCAGTGCGGATGCAACTCTAGTTTATCTGTTTGTGTGTGTGTGTGTGTTGTGTGTCTCCACGTCGTTTCCGACTTACGACCCTAAGGCGAACTTATCATGGGTTTTTCTTGGCCAGATTTGTTCAGAGAAGGTTTCCCATGGCCATCCTTTGAGGCTGAGAGAGTGTGGTTTGCCCAAGGTGACTCCATGGGCTTCATGGCTGAGCTGGGATTCGAACTTTGTTCTCCAGAGTCGTAGTCCAAGGGGGGGTTGCAGACTGCCAGAAATAGTGCAAATTGAGTCCACTTTTAGGGTTAGGGTTAGTGCTAGGGAATCATGGGAATTGTTGTTGTTTTTTCTGAGACATTGAGCCTTCTCTGTCAGAGAGCTCTGGTGCCACAATAAAATACAGTTCCCATGATTCCCTAACCTTAACCCTAACCCTAAAAGTGGACTCAATTTGCACTATTTCTGGCAGTCTGCAACCCCCCCAACACTCAAACCACTTCCCCACATGCTGACTCTCATATATATATATATATATATATGTAATTATATTATATATAATATAATTACATATTATATATGTATATTATATATTATAAATATATTATATGTAATTATATTATAAATATGCAGTTTAAGATTTAGTATAATGTATTTGTGTTTGCATTATACCTAATTTTAAACTGTATATTATTATTATTATTATTATTATTATTATTATTATTATTACATAATTATAAATTATAAATTATATTACACATATTATACTAAATATGGTCAATGTATATTTTCGCTCATTCATAGTCAATAATTATTTATGCCACGATGGCTCTGGCTGGAGCACCAGCAAAAGACTGGGTTGTGCTGGGTATGAATGAAAGAAAGAGATGCAAATCTGCCTCTGCCTCTTGCCTGGTTCCCTTTTCACACAAGGTGAAAAGTTAAAGCATAAAAAGAGAGGGAGCATGAATAGGATGGGAAAAGTGGGGCAGGTGGGGGGTCTCATCTTCAAAGGGGCAAATTGTGGGTCTGCTGCAGGGAAAAGAGGAGGGGAAAGGAAGGGGAGAATTCTCATATCAAAGTGACTTTTCCTTATCTGCTTGGCTGAGAGGCTGCGATCTGGAGGGCACTTAGAAAGAGAAAGAGAAAGAGATAGCCCAGTCTATCCAGAAACTTAGGGTGCATCTACACGGTAGAAATAATGCAGTTTGACACCGCTTTAAGTGCTGTACCTCCATCCTATGAAATCCTGGGTTCTGCACTTTCACAAGGTCTTTAGCCGCCTCTGCCAAAGAGTGCTGTTGTCTCACGGAACTATAAATCCCAGGAGCCATGGCAGTTAAAAGTGATGTCAAAAGCAAAGGTGACCAGAGGCCCTCTTTTTCCAGGGAATGGTTCTGCCATATCTCTGCCTTCTGTCCAGGAGGAATTCCCAAATGCCCTCATTTTAAGAAGTAAGAATGTCTATATTTCAAGGGTCCAAAACACACTGCAGAAATAAATAATCGAGTTTGAGAGCGCTTTAACTGCCCTGGCTCAATGCTAGGGGATCCTGGGAGTTGTAGTTTATTGTGTCACCAGAGCTCTCTGACAGAGAAGGCTAAGTGTCTCACAAAGCTACAGTTCCCAGAATTCCCTAGCATTGAGCCAGGGCAGTTAAAGCGGTCTCAAACGGGATTATTTCTGCAGTGTGGATCGGACTTTTGTTAACCCCACCAACCCAGTCTGCTCCGACCCCATTTTCCTTCTGTCTCATGGGAAAGTTCCTTAAAATCCAGTATTAACACTGGAAATCGATCGAGCCTCAATTTCCTCTTTTGATATTACATGATTCCACTTTACCTTTTCTTCAAAAGGAAAAATACCCAACCTCAATATTCGAACATCGAAATATTTCGAAATATTCGAAACTTAAAAAAAAAAACAACCCACCCAGTAATTAATCTGTCTTGAAAATAATATTAATTGACTAAGAATTGACCTCCGTGCTTTTTGGACCCTTTTCCCTGTCTTTCTTTCTCTTTATTTTAACTTTTCCAGTATGCTCGACTTCAAAAGCCTTCTGTTCAGAATGTGACTTGACTTTCCGAAGTTTTAAAAATGCAATAAAATCTTGCTGGGTTTCAAGATGGGAAGCCCTTCTGCTAATGGACTAAATACTAACTAACAAGCCCTAATAATAATAATAATAATAATAACCTGAAAGGAGGTCCTGTTTTTCTTAGATGTAGCCCAAAGCTTTATTTAATGTATTTAGATCCCTGACTCGATAAAAGAGAGAAACCTTTCTTGGCACACGACCCAACCCTAAAGAAATTAAGATAATCCTTTTTACATTCTAAATTCACTTTTTGGGGTGTTTTGTGGCTGTTTTCTTCTTATCCTGGATTAGCCTGGCAATTGGCCATTAATGAGTAAACCGCTTTAAAATGAGAATCTCTCTCTCTCTCTCTCTCTTCTTTCTTTCTTTCTTTCTTTCTTTCTTTCTTTCTTTCTTTCTTTCTTTCTTTCTTTCTTTCTTTCTTTCTTTCTTTCTTTCCTTCTTTCTTTCGACCCTCCGATGAGATTCTAGACTCCTTAGTAAAGTCAAACGGGCTCTTCAAACCCCAAAGATTTCTGCTGGAAATGTTTAACTGGAGTTTGGTGACGGATTAGGCCCGAAACACGCTTTAATTTGGGTTGGAGATAATCTCGGTGATTTAGACAGGTCCACACAGATGCCTTCCCTTTGGAAGGCCTTGCGAACTCTTCGTTTTGGCCGCGTGGTCTGAGTTGTTGGATTGAGACTCTGGGGACCAGGGTTCGAGTCCCAGCTCGGCCATGGAAACCCACTGGGTGACTTTGGGCAAGTCACACTCTCTCAGCCTCAAAGCCAAACCCCCTCTGGAGAAACTTGCCAAGAAAACCCCTTGACCTTAGGGGCCCATAAGTGA